GTGATACCCATTTTGGGTTTTCCGATTCCGGCTATTACAGTCGACGAGGAGGCCATCAAATTAAAGAGGAAGAAGAGAGGAGTCATTTGGTACTCACCTTGCGCCCTTGGCTTGCCTGAAACGGCGTGAATCGCCGGAAAAAGTTGTCCCAAACTTCAAGCTCTTCCCCTTCAAAATAGACACAATTTCAGTTCAAATCTAAGCTATAATCTTCTTCCTCGCGTTGAGTAGATGTTTTTAGAGTATAGAGTATTCATTTGCCGAATTTGGTGGCCGGAGGAAGGAGATCGAAGAAGAGGGACGAGGAGGAGGAGGAGGTGGTCACGCTACTGAGAAGAAGAAGGAAGAAAAGAAAGAAAAAGAAAGAAAAAAAGAGAAAAAGAAAGCGAAATGGGCCGGTCCCGGTTTCGATTCGAACCGATTCGGTCCATTCAGTTGATTTTGATCTCGGTTGTTCTTTTGGTTTTTTTTTTTTTTTTTTTTTGCGCTCGGTTTTTCAATTAGTTCGTGTGTTTCGACACAGTTAAATAATTTTTAGGTCCGGTTTAAATTTATTTTAATTGATTTAGTTTGGTCATAAAACATCTCTTCAATTAACTTTTCTAATAGTTTACAACAAATAAATTTGGGGGTGGGAGGGGGGATAGCGGCGGGATAACAATAAATTAATGTAGGATAATTAGTTTAGTATCTAGAGTTTCCATTTTATTTCATCGACAAATGCTGAACGTTCTGTTTTTGGCTTGGCTCAATTCAAATTTGGGCTCAAGTTAAAAGTTAGAAATGCTCGGTCTTCACAACCCATACTATAAAAAAAATTCGGATTTTTGATTTAATAAAAATTCTAAAGTTTTGAAAATAAAAATTCGGGATATTACAACGTACATGTAATACATATATTAAAAAATTAGTCAAATGCCAATCTGGTATAATATGATTTGGTTTTCCCGCGTTGTATAAATGAAGAATCCCATATCAATCAGATAAGCACAAAAGAAAAGTAATGTTTTTAGACATGGAAATGGTGGTAATTACTTAATAAGTTGGATTTCTTGGTAGAGTCTCCTCCAAAGATTGTTTTTAATCATGTGATTAAAGAGAAATAATTTTGCTGATGGATTAGCAAAAAACGGAGTTGATATGCATACAACTTAAATCCCTTTTTTATTAATTAAACAGATAGTTAAGTTATGGGAACCTTAATTTCACGTCGTTAAAAATTTCCGTAACCAAAGGAAAGAGGAAAATAATATATACATACATACATATATATATATAATAAAAACACAAACACAAGTAAGGTAGGGATTAGTGTATGCTTCTGCAATATCCATCACATTGGATAAGGAAGAGAGTAATTAAGCATGGGGAAAAACATCTGCTGCCCTTCCAACCACCATCAAAACAAAACCTTCAATCTCCTGTTATGTACAGCGGGGAAAGGAGTGGCTTTGTCGTTCTTAAATACATACATCGCCAATGCCAAAATTTCCATTCCTGTCTCTAATGTCGTTTTAACTGCAAGTGTTTCCATTTCTCAGGACATTACTCTTCTTGTCTCTTGTATATCATTCATTTCTGCTAGCTGCTGTACATGTGTTTTATGAATAGGCAACCATCAACAATCTGCTATTATTGATCCCAAAAGAACATAAAAAACATGCAAAAATATTTAAGTTCTTGTCAAATTATTTATTATTTGGATATTATTGGTTTATTTATTTATTTAATAATATTAGCTTTTTCTTTTGATTCATAAAGACCAACGGGTTTAAAATAATATTGAGTGATAGTTCTTTCCTTTTAATAACTGTCTTTTCATAATTTTTATCAAATTTGTGAAAATTCCAACGAATATAAAAAGACTCGAAGATAAAAACTCTCTCTTTTTCTTTTTCTCAACGGGGAGGGGGAGTGAAATCTTGCTACTTTTATAGTTTAATTTGGTGAATTTGTGATATATATGTACTAATGCATATATATTTTGAAAATATATTTTGAAAATTTGTGTTACATGAAAATATATTTTGAAAATTTTTCTTGAGCATAATTTTTTTGATTAAAACATCTTAAAATATTTATTTTATGGTCTTTAGTTAATGTATTAATGCATATATATATGTATACACATTAAGATAATGCTTTTTCAAGTTTCAACTATAGCTTTTAACTATAATACTAATTAATGGAATATTGTGTGAAAAATAATATTAGTCAGCCTATCGATCAAGTTCAAACTCCAATTGAAATTTGGTTAACAAAATAAAATCAAAGATATTTTTTTTAGATATGGATTATATATATATCTATTGTTATTTTACGATATGGATTATTAGATATTGAATATCATATAAGTATTAAGTTATATACTATAATTTTCTATATCATATATATATAGTAATATAAAATTAATATGGAATAGAAATTTTAATATTTGTAAAGTATATTTATTATAAATATTTTATAAAAGTATTAAAATTTTAAAAATATAATATAATATGGAATGAAATTTAAATATTTAGTAAATATACATATTTTTATAAAATAAAATTTTATAAAAGTAATTAAAACGTTTTAAAAATAAAAGATAAAACGGGAAAAAAATTAAGAAGAATGGATCCATAAAGGAGAGAGATACAATAAAATTTTAAAGAGAAACAATAACATAATAACAGGATATATTTTATTTTTAAATATTAGTATATATCACAAAAACAAAGAGGACAATTTCCAATCTCTATACGTGAGATGATCAACTTGGCACCTTCTCCATCACATACTCTGTCCCAGAGCAGTTTATGCAATTTATATTTGTAAGTATTTTCTTAGCTTTTCTTTTCATGTACTAAAAAGAAAAAAAGAAGATATATGTTGATTCAAAGTAATTAAAAGGTATTTTCAAATAATATTATTTTGAGATTGAATATTCAAATAATATTATTAGATAAATAATAGTTTCAAATTTTTTATAATAACTACACTGAAAATGATGTTTTTCAAAAAATAATTTCAATTTAATAGTGGATAACTATCATTATTAAAAAGTAATTTAATTAGTTAATTCAATCGAATTTTAATAATTGATGTCAATGAAAAAGAATCTAATATATAAATTGAAGTGGTTGGTTTTAATAAATTGGGAAAATTAGAATTTTATTATGCAAAATTATAAAGAAGATTTAGATGACAAGTACGTATTGTCAAGACGTGTGAAAAAAAAAATTATATTCTTGCAGACAAACAGATATGAGTTTGGTCATTCAAAAAGATAATCTACAACGACCCTTACGTTTTTATGAGGCACAAGACAAAAAAACTTTTCTTTCTTGTATGTTAGGTTTTAGACAGAATTATTAATTATAAAACAAAAGAACATGCACATGTAAATAGAGAAAATTTAAAGTTGTAACATTTTCTTTGATTAAACAGGATCATAGCCTATAATGCACATTATTTTTTAAAAAGTTTCATTTATTGTTCATTTGACATTTTGCATCTGTCGGTAGGATATGTTCTTTTGCTTTCTAAATTGAGAAATTGCACGTGGAGGTATAGGAATTCATAAACTTCAGTAATTGCCTAAAGCTGTTCATAATTGAGAAGGGTTTTATTTCTTTAATATGAATCAAAGAGAGTGTCATGTTTTACTCAATTGATCAATAAATGGATGATTAAATTGTAACATTGAAAAAATATATATCTATTAAACCTTTGATAGATATCTATTAAATAGTCGTTGAGAGCGCTTCTCTTTATAAATTTGGTGTAACGCGAGTTAGGTTAGACTTAATTCAACAGGTTAAGAACACTTGTAGTATATATATATATATATTTGAAAGTAGGTGTGAGTATTCAGTTTAACTGAATTAGACTGAACCAAATTGGTTCAGTTTAGCCTGGTCGAATAGATTTGAATCTGAATTGAAAAGCGTGAAAATCAGTTTGGTATCGAATTAAATGAGATAGATTTTGATTGATTATTCCTATTTTGGGAGTAAATATCAATTAAATTAGCTATGCAAGTGACAAAATAAAAAACTGTTCAGTTATCACTATTGAAATCGAACTGTAATTAAATTCCTAAAATACTAAGTGAACCAAACCAAAATGAGTCAGTTGAGTTTGATGATTCGTATGGTCTTGGGAGAGCTAATTTCCACATCCTTTAGCATTTTGAGACCCATAAACACTAGCAAAGGATAATGGGATGAGATTAAAAAAAAAAAACTTCAAGAAGTCTTACTTGTTGAATTTGATAGTTATATATTTTGTATTAGTTGTATGCACAATTGCACATAATTGAAATGGACGGATTTAAATTTTTTCTCTTACTAAACTTAAATTACTTAATTTTTTTGAGTACTGGGAAAGAAGATTCAAACATGGTCTATACCATTAGGTTGATTTGAGTGAAAGAGACTCAAATCTCTTAGATAAGAAACGAGTATTCGATCATTGTAAATGAAAAAAAAAAAAATTCCTAATTGGAGCATGTTCTCCTTATGAGTGCACGCGGCGCGAACAGAATTAGACGGATTTCCATATATCCTATATATGAGTTTTACATAAACACCGATAAGAAAACAATTAGCTGTATACTGATTTTTAACAAGATTAATACTCAGTTTGTATTGAAAAATTAAATTAAATCGACATCTTTTCGGTTTAATAAGATTGCTAATTAAGCGAGGTCTTTAGTTAATTTGACTTGCCATTTGAATTTGAGATAATTCAAAGAATAGTTCTACAGACGAGTCCAATATCGTTAAGTTAAAATCCTTTTTTTTATTTTTATTTTAGCTCTTGCCATAGATGTGTTTGGCCTTTTTGGCCTGCTCCTCGTGGACAATAATATTTATTAGTACAAGTATAAAATCATAAATAAAAAATAGAGTACAAATTTATTGCAGTTTTTGAATTAAAACAGAGAGAAATTCCAAAATTTTTTTTGCACCAGTTAATAATTAACATATATATTATAATAAATAGTTTATTCCGTAAAAAAAAAAAAATTACCACATTATCACTGATAAAAATTCAATTTAATTACATCCACCAAAAATTCTGAAGTTGAAGTATTTATTGTTGTACTATTTGTTATTCTTTAGCCAGTCAAGAATACTCTTCTCTGATTCAGATAGGTCCTGCTCTTTCTTTCCTCTTAATGACCCTTCTACATAGTCAAAGTAATCCTTGTAGTTCCGCTTGTAATAGCTATCCAATCTCTTATTACAAATATAAATGAAAAAACAACATATATAGAGTTAATCACATATAAACCAAATATATTAATTTCTGTTTAGTACTAGTATAAATTAGTTTCACAAAATTTTATTAAATTTAGTTAAAATTTTATATATGTTTTTTTTCAAAAGTATCGAGAAAGAAGATTCGAATCTAAATGTATTGTCAGGTTATATATGCACTTACTACTAGAAAATACATTGATGTGTGTATATGTTTTTTAATTTAATATAAATAAAAATATTTACTTTACTTTTACAAAAACTTTATGAAATCCAAGATAAATAAATCAAAATTTATCATGTGTAAATTAATTCCTAAAATTCAAATTTATTTATACCAAATAAAGAGCTGATTGAGGTTATATTTAATCAAAATTGGTTATATATGTAATATTTATGTCTCATTATCATTAGTTTAATTAATATATTGCTCGTTAATACTTATAGACAAAAATTAAAATAACCATAATTAACTTTTGATTTTATGCTTACCATGCATCATCATCTAATCTCACATTAGCATAATATCTATCACCACTGCCAAGTAATTAAAATTAAATATAAAAAAATTTTAAATTTTTATTTATGCAATTCTAATATAAGATGAAAATGACCACTATATCCATCACATTTTACCAAAATTACTAAAGAAATTACAAGCCATATGCGATGTCATACCTCTTTATCATTTTTGGTCTTGTTTTCCTCTGATTTCTTCAAATATTCTGATAAAATTAATTAAAGAAAATTGCAATCCACCATTTTTAAATCTCAAAAAAATAAGAAACCAAAAGTGAAAAAAAAAAGGAGAATAAATTAAAACCGAAATTAAGCATATACATATATATACATACTGTTAAGAAGCTCAGTTTTGGAATCAGTAGCTACTGGATAAGCAGCAACCAAAGTAGAGAAGAAGATTCCTCTTCTTCCAAAGGCAGAAGAAGGCGGTGTTGTAGTTGCAGAAGATCTTTTAGTTTCTCTTCTTTGAACTGCATGAACATTTGATGAAGCAAACTTGTTCACTGTAACTGTAAGTGCCATTAAAACACTTTGTGATATTGAACTCATTTTTAACCATTACAGAAAAGAAACCACTCTTTCTCTTTGTTTCAAGAACAACCTCAGCCACTGGTTTTTGTTTTCAGCCTTTAAGATTGATTTTTTGTTACGGGTTTTATCTCCTTTTTCACTTCAGTCCAAATACTCTTTTGCTTTCACAGAAAATACAGATTGCTAAGTTTGAATTTTTCTTTTTTTTTTTTTTTTTTTTTTGTTTCAAGAACAACCGTCCAACAACATGGTTATTTGTTTTCAGCTCTATAAGAATTGGATATTATTGTTACGGGTTTATTCCTTTTTACTCAGTCCAATACTCTTTTGCTTCACAGAAAATACAGATTGCTAAGTTTGAATTTTTCTTTTTTTTTTTTTTTTTTTTTTTTTAATACCGACTGGGCATGGGTTATAGCCCACGCCCAGTGCGTATTTTGAAAGCCTGATGAAGGTTTAATTGATAGAATGTATATATTGAATGTTGAGTGAGAATCTTTAAAATTTGGTTTTATGAATTATTTTTTGTTCAAGTATTAATTGATATTCTTTTTATTTTTATGTATGTGTATAGTAGTATATATAATAGTATAAATAGTATAATATATAGCATACATTACCTATAGTAAATAGTATTATTTTCAGATAATAATGCTACTTGATTTTATCGTTTTATGTGAGGAAAGAAAAGATACTTTCACTACTAAAATTCAAAGAGCAAATGGCTATAATAGATAACATTTTATGTATATATATACAGTACATAATGCCTCCTGTTTTTTCTTTTTAAAAAGAAGAAAGTTACTTCCTAAATAATCAAGCAATGGCTAATAAATAAGAATACAATTTATGTACCACGTAAAGCCCATTCAACTCACAGTTCAGTTGTGTTGCTGCTATGTAAAATTATTACAATTAAAGCCTGTGTGTAATAATCTCCAAATACACCATAAATCATGTATGTTTTCTGGGTATAGAATTATTAAGAAGACCTATACAAGGAGATACCTCTCTCCCCTCCCTGTGGTATTCCAGGGAATTCGAACCGAAATCCCTTAGAGAACACCATGTATATTATATGCATTGAGAGTTCTGTCAGAATTTTGTCACAAAGTATCATACAACCACCAGTCAGATTTATTGCCTCCTAGTACAGCTGGGCCTCATTTTATAAAGCCGATCAATTATTCTAATAATCGCTTGTGCTTGCACCAGGCAATAGCAATTACATACAGGAATACACTACCGGTGCAGCTGCCCCCAACAGTCCACAAGAACTTGCGCATTCCCACTTCTACTTCTTCATTGAATAACTCGATGTTGATATTCATGCCAAAAATACCGGCAACAACGACAAAACAGCTGATCACCAGGGTTGCTGTTGTCAACATGACTCCCATTTGTAGGAGATGATTCTGTTTGTCATCCAGCATTATGTTGATGTAGTCTTCTGTGTCGTCGACATACTCCCTCAGCTTCCAAGATTCAATCAGAATATGTAACACAATGATAAGCAAGAAAAAACATTAGATGCTATTCGATTGATCTTTCTACACCATGCGCGCAACACATTCTTGCAGACAAAATTTCTAGCACAAGTTTTGTATTAAGATATATGATTAGGAGGCAAGAAAATGTTAGATATCACAAGCAGTCACATACTTCAATGGATGAAAACCCAAATAGCATGGATATGCTTTGGTTACATTATATAGTGAACTAAATTCCAAAATTTAATGCCAGACATTCTTGCTCTAAAATTTGAGCAGTAACAAGTAGATTAGTATACAAAAGGGAAATGGCCAAACCCACATCATTATACATACACCAATTTAATTCAAGGATGTGCATAACAAGCATAACGAGTTAATACTTACAACCACCTACGGGACATTCATAGCCAAAATGTATGCTGATTGAAAAGTGATGCACATCAGAAGAATAGAGAGGAAATGTAAGTTGAATACCGTGGATAGTTTGTTCAGTGTGCCATCAATCTGAACAAAGTATGCCTCCAGTAGCATTTCTAGCTCCTCTACATCAAGGTGCTTGCTTATAGCACTTCTAGTGGTACTGGTATGTGTCCCATGACTGTCCCTGCTGAGCACATTAGGAGCACTAAACAGATGATCCTGTGGATTGTCAGCATTGTGAATATCGGCCTCCCCACTAGTAGAAGCTCCATGAACTTCCAATGAGACTTCAACAGGAATCCTGATGCCACAAAATAAGAATTTTGAGTGAAAAGATAGTATAATCAAAAATTGGATAACATTAAGAGTGTAATCAAAGCGGTGATGATTTTCTTAGGTACCTATTGTCCATGTCTGCTTGGAGATATTCATCATCCATGTCGTCTCTCTCATTTAAAGAGGTTGTGGATGAATTTTCTAGGTGTTGAACCAACTTTTCTGTTAGATACATCTCAGCCATGTCTTCATCATCATCCAACAAGTGTTCTAGCTCATCCCTAACCTAGTGATGTATATGCAAGCATAATTAATTACAATAGAATGAGGTATTTAAAATTTAAGTTAACAATTCATAACAACCTATTGCAACATAATAAGAAACATGAGAAAATGAGCAATAAAACCCTAGCAAACCTTTTGAACACGGCCAGTTATTGCAACCAAACGACTTTTAATTTGACGCACACGCTCTAAATTGAGAGTACTGATCTTTGAAGTCAGCTTATCCAAGGCTGGATGAGCCTCTTGCTCCAGTGTTTTTGCCTGGTGAGATTATGGAAAATGAAAGAAACAATGAGAGCAAAGAAACATTGCCACTAAATATACCAAAAAGCTACCAAAAGGGAAAATATGAATGCTCACTTCATTTTCTAAGCAACCACATGCAGCCTCAAGGCATGCCTCCAGTGCAACAAACTCAAATGGAAGAACATTTGATCCATCTCGATTTTCAAGACCCGGTTTCCCATCCTTACCTCTCTCAGCCTGACCCTGAGAATCCGGAAAGCCCTCTGGAAAATTTTTGTGACTTGCCTTTGATTGTTGTTCTTCAGTGTCGTACAAATTTGTCCAATTTGAATCATCAACCTCCTATACAGAAAAAACAAAAAGCAAAGAAGCAAGCACATGATGATTCAAAAGGCAACCAATTTTACAGTCAGTAATAGGTATACATTTACAAGTATTAAAGAGAGAGAGAGAGAGAGAGAGCAAAGAAAATAAAACACAAAAATTAAAGATATTTCTAAATCAGAATTTCCTCTAAATAAAAAAAAAAAATACAAGCTTGAAGATCGAGAGACATCAATTCCAAAAATTTATATATATATAGGGCTGTCCGACCTTAACTAAGTGGGACAAAGTTCTTTTTCATTCCAAGATTTGATCAAATACCAACAGAAACAGTCCAGTGAATTATTGTAGCTGATTCATTTTCAGTTTTTGACTCAACAGTTGGATTAAATAACCCATTTCCAATTCAAATACAATGTATTCACCAACTTGGTTATGCAAACCATTTAAGATCACAGCCGCAACAACTGCCCCCGCCCCCGCCAACACACAAAAAAAAGGTCCAAGTTTCATTGTCCTAAATTCTTCACATGATCACTGGAAAAAAAAAAATTCTTTTAACACCTAAAAGAACATTTATATCCCACATAAACTTAGATGCATTACTTTTGTATGCTGTAATTGAACCCAATATTATACAATGAAATGAATATTTAGTTCATTTTACTATTGAAATTTTATTTGATTGCATCCCATTTCTTTCAATTACATCCTACCAAATTACAGTAATGTGTTACCCACCAACAAGAGTAGACAAGCTCGAATTGCAAAGGTAAGTATCCAACAAAGAACAACAAAAATTACATCAAATTCCCACATAAAATGTGTTCTCAATAAACGAACACACTTCAGCATAATAGCTAAATGAATCTTGAATTATACTCTAAACAAGTGAATAAAATCAAACATCATTAGCAAATACGCATCAAATTTAATCACTTCACAAGAAAAAAAAACAAAAGATCAAGAACACAATTTTTAATCACAATAGAAAAAATACGATCACAAACCTGGGCTTTTTTAGCATTATAATGACACAAAAGCCTCCTTTGCAACTCCTCAACAAACGGTATAACAGACGGGTCTCTAGAATTCAACAAAAGAACCTCTTGGGCTGTAATTATTGCCTTTATATGCTCCAAATTAATGACGATCGCTCTCTCTCGACCCAAAATCGTAGATGGGTATGATAGTTGCGGGTCGAGAATCCGGAGATCACGGGCAGGTAGGCCAGTGCGGCGCATGATGGCATGTTTACCAGCCTCCACAACCTGGGACTGACCGGTGGAATCGAGCAGGAGCCAGGGCCGGACCCCGGTTCCTTTCTTGCGAACGCTGGGGAGCGCGGGTTGGGTTACATTGGGTCGGATTAATGGGTCGACGTCGTCATCGGGTTGGGGGTAGGCGGGTTTGGATAGAGGAGGAGGGTGAGACCTCATGGTGGTTGTCGGAGTCCGGCTTTAGGGGACTGTGGAGTTGAGAGCAGTTGTTTTCTTCTATACAAGATGCTCGGAAAATTTAAAATTTATAAACAAGTAAATAAAATAGTGCCCATTTTATCAACGGGAAAAATATAATTGAGTTACTATATATTATTACTATATCATTTGATTATATTACATAATTAATTTTATTATATTATATAATTATATTAGCAAAAGTTATATTTTTTTTCCTATATTTGGACATAATTAACTATTTTATCATCATAAAAAATTACAGTATTTTATTCTTGTAGCTTGCATTAAAATTTAAGTCAATAAGTGTTAGTGAAATTATCAGACTAATCTATATACAAATGAATTAAAAAAGAAAAGATTATATATTTTGATATAACTATTTATTTTGTTCTTGAATTTTAAAAATTACACTAATTTATCAATGTAGTTTAGATTTATTAATGACTTAAATCTAAAATAATAGAATGAATGATAATTTTGTTTAACAGAGACAAAATACAAAAATAAATTTGTATAATTTTTAAAATATTATTTAGTTATACCAAAATATAGGGACAAAATCATATTTCCCTTTTATATTATATTATGAATATATAATTCATATATAATTAATAGAAAATATATTTAATATAAATATAAACTTAATATTAATGAGAAATTTCGTCTTCAAGATGATATATGTTGTATATGTAAAGTCTAAATGTGAAAATTCACAGAATTCATCTACGAAAATAATAATAATAGCTAGCAAGACCTAAATCAATATGCTCGAATAGAAGCCAATCTAACATGGCATGGTTGGTTTTCCTATGTCTTATCGAATACGTGGGAGTGAGAGGTTTTGAGTTCGATTCTTTTTCACCACAAAGTTATATCACTAATTTAGTGAAGTGAATGTCATTCAAAGGAAAAGGCTATCATGCTATGTAGCACATAATATTATTCCGGCCCATTGGGCTTCTCAATAACAAAAAAAAACAGTTATCAAATAGAAGTAGAAAAAGAAAAAGGCCCATGAGCCATGGGATAGAAATAATAAAATTATAAATAGAGTTTAGGTTCAAATTCTATAAAATATGGATAATATCATCTAATGATAAACGAATAAAAAGCTTCTCAAAGCCCTTGTTTTTTATTCTTATTCATCCACTTCATATTTATATTTTAAAAATAAGTTAGTTGAACTTGAAAATTCAATTTTTAATTTAATTACATTATATTTCAGTCTCATAAAATATCCTTTCATCCATAAAAGCTCATATCACCATCAAATTTGAAAGAAAAAACAAAAATGCCCTTATTTTATTTTCGGCAAATTTTTTTTCCCTTTTTGGGTTGAGTAATAAATATAAAAATTAAAAATAAAAGAAAGATAACAAAAAAAAAAAAAAAAAAAAAGAGAATCCTTTCTTATACTTGCATTTCTCCTTTTAATTTCAAGTGTTATGGTTCTTTGTATTAATAATTGAAAATTTTCCTTTTATTTATATCTATTTAGCCTCGTGAAGGGTTTTTTTTTTATTATTTCAAGAATTTTCTGCCCTTTGACTACTATTTTAGTAAAAAAACTCACTGCAAAAACCATAAAAAAATAGGCAGAGGGATCTATTTATGGAATGAAAGCATAATGCTTGAAAATAGTGGAACTTTTGTATTAATTAATATTAATATAATTTAGAGATTTGTTTATACTTTTCCCTTATAATAATAGGCGAAATGTAACATTTTAGAGATGTAGTTTACAAAAACAAAAAAAATTGTCAATCTCAAACTTTTATTTTAACATGTTATTTTTTTATTTTAAGAAAAATTTTAACTTAAACAATTACATCTAATAAACACTTTAATTTATAAAAACTTTTCTATTAAATATTCCAACTTATATTGAAACTAGCAATTTATACTGTAACTTTCTCTCCCCACAAGTATACAAACATTAGTTTATAAATATTTTCAATTGACATTAGACTAGTAAATATTTATTGAAACAACATATTTTGTCAAAGTCCCAATAATAACACTGTGTTTTAGTTTTAAATTGTGGTGAACTCTAGCTAAAATCTAGGTAGAATTAGTTGCATTTTATACCCATTCATTCCAAAAAAAATCCATCTTTCATTTTTGGTTTCTCCTAAAATGTAGTCCAATTTTCTTTTTTTTTGCATTATAGTTAATCCTTAAAGAATAATGCTATTTGGCTCATGGTGATCTTGAATCATGACACTTCAAATGATAGATATAACCTTGAGTGATTTTGACGGGATAAATGGGTGAAAAAGAAACTTAATTTTGGAGGGAAATGTATGCATTAAATGCATATTCCCACTATTAATTATTTTACTTCACTTTATCACATAATTAATTATATATGTTGTTGAAAATGATGACAATCATTAATTTTTTAACTTAAAAAAATATTTTTGATATCATCATGGTTATTGGTCATGGTTAATTTGATTTAGGCTAATCAAAACAATATATACATAATAAAAATTTTAATTCTAAAATAAATTCTATAAAGATTGAACAACGCCCAATTAATTATAAACTGGACTGGCAACCGAACCAATATCATGACCAGAATAAGGTTGGATCGGGTTGGACTAATTCAACCAGATTCTTAATTTTTTATATAAGTGTGTATGTATTGCAACAAAATAATTTTCAATCCCTTTTTCTTAAAAAAAAAAATCCAATTTTTTCCAAAAAAAAAGGTTTTTATTAAGAAATTGAATTTTTTTTCCAAAAAAAAAAAAAGGTTTTTATTAAGAAAATTTGATTTTGCCCGATTATATCAAGAAAATCCAGTTTTTATCATTGGTTCAACCTGATTTTCTCAAAAAATTCAATTTTTTTTTTTTCAAAAATCAGTCCAACTTGATAATGGAACCAAACAACCAATTGGTTTTAATTTAACTGGTTCGACTGGTTAATCCAATCTAATTCCAATAATACTGCATACGAATATCTTTTTAATTTATTTGAGAGGATACAAAATCCTAGCATATTAAACCTTTTAATAAAAATTTTAACTATTTGAGAGGATACAAAATCCTAGCATATTAAACCTTTTAATAAAAATTTTAACCAAAGTATGGGTTCTACCATTGTTCATGCCTAATCAAAAAAATTTTAACTTTACTAAATTTAACTTAATTATTATGTGATCAAGTGCAATTTTAACTAATTATTACTTAATCTCGTTCCAATTTGGTTGTCTTAATTTAATTTAGTTCTAAGTATGAACTTCATCAATCACTAATTGGTTTAATTTCAATTAGTGTATTTTACTTTAATTTAATTTTAGATGTGATTTAATTTAATTCAAATTAGATTGTCTAATTAATTTGATTCAAGTGCGACTACTCAATTGTTACTTCATTTAACTTTAGTTTAAATATCTTAATTTAATTTATTTTTAAATGTGATTTAATGAAGTGTAAATTAACCATTCAAGTTATTGCCTTTATCTATATGCATTAAAATTTATATGTAGAGAACGTCTAATTAATTTGATTCAAGTGTGACTTACTCAATTATTACTTTATTTAACTTTAGTTTAGATATCTTAATTTAATTTGATTTTAAATATGATTCAATAGAGTGTAAATTAACCGTTCAAGTTATTGCTTATTTTAATTTAATTTCAGGTGTAATTTAATCAATTTGAATTAGATTATCTAAATTTAATTTGATTCAAGTGTGACCAAGTGTGATTTATTTAATTGTTACTTCATTACATTTCAATTTGAATATCTTAATTTAACTTAAGTTTAACTATGACTTAATAAAGTGTAATATAAATTTAAACAAGGGTAGCTTAGTGGCATAGAATAAAATTCTTGTAAAGTCAATTACTTTTATTTTAGGTTATGAGTTCAATCCTTTGTTTGCTTATTTTTTTTTTACTATTTATTCACGGTGTTGCCACTCCACCTACAAATGTTATGAGTTAAATCCTTTGTTTGCTTATTTTTTTTACTATTTATTCATGATTTTGCCACTCCACCTAAAAATCAATATGCATATAAAGCAAGCATTTTTTCCTTAAAAAATTGACATGTAGCATATCTACTTGGTATTTTAATTTGACATGTGGCATATTCCTCCAATTAGGCCCCCCACTTGGCATGGTGTCATTTGATTGTTTAATCAATTGATATATTGGCTTGGTTTGATTTGGTTTAGATTTATTTTGAGTTTTGGTTTGGTTTGATTTTATTACTCAATGTATTAATGTATTGATTTAGTTTGGATTCACTAAGAGTTAGTCTTTTTGATTTGGTTTGATTTGATTAATTAATGTATTAATATATTGGTTTGTTTTGGCTTTATTTTGAATTAGTGTTTTTAGTTTGGTTTGATTTGATTTAGTTATTTAATGTATTAATGGCTTTAAGTAATCATTATTAATTATTAAATTTTAAAAAATGATAAAGTTTAATGTATTAATGTATTGCTTTGTAACAAATTTTTACTCTCAAATTTGTGAAGTAACAAACATTTCCATTATCGGTTATTCATCTAACCACAGTTAATATGTCTTTAATGTTTCCTATCTAAACGTTTCCATTTATTAATATTTTTAAATAGTGTAGCAATGCACCTTTTTTTAAATTTTGAATTATTTACTCTCACGAAATACTTTAGCTTTTTTAGAAATACTATATAAAAGTTTTATCTCTGTATTCTTTTGTATTATTGGTAAAGGTATATTGGTTGTTGCTTTTAAATATATTATTCATTTTTTTAAAAAAGTTCAGAATTTTCTATATTTTAACTATTTCTATTAATGGGGTTAGTAGTTCTTACTCAAATTTTATATATTAACATGTTAATATATATAAAGTAGGCAAAATTTTCTTTGGTATTGCCACATAGGATTCCAAATTAATGACATGTGTATGACTTAATTGTTTGTTTTTATATTTATTTAAAAATAAATTAATTTATGATTAAATTAAACCGTCTTAAATGTAACTGATTAATATGCCGTAAGAAAATTAATAGTGTGTTAAGTAACAATTTAATAACTTTTAATGATATAAGTAAATTACA